ATCAACGACTCTACAAATTATACAAATTCGAGATCCATCCTCGTATTTGTAATATTTAATTTCGTTATTCACCAACGTGATTTAAGTCGATAATTATATACGATAATTACTGATATGTATATTTCATACGATCTAACTGGAGTCAGATCTCGGATCACTCCTCAGTAGTGCAGAACTGTGGATGCTTATTGCTGAAGAGTCCCATACTCAGACGAAACAGCCATCCAATGCATCTAGATATTCAATGTTGATCTAATTTAGATTGACTCGTGAATTCATCTGCTAATATACTACAATCTCCATACTGATAATCCTAATCACGTCAGTCATTAATAATGATATATATATATATATATATATATATATATATATATATATATATATATATAGACGTTTACAGTGGTTTAAATGAACAAACTGTCCAGTGCTTCCAGGTTTTCTATGGTGGTCTAGCTTCATTTGACTCATGATCTCAACTATTGAAGTTACTACAATCTCCACAAAACCCCTTCTGATATTAATCAACATATGCTCACTGGTGACTGACTTCAAGAGGTATATCCTGGAGTTCTAGTGAGAAGTAGTGACCAGTGGAGTTAAACCAGGTCTGTTGTGGGATAGAAACTCACTGATGACAATGATGGATGTGTCGCTCAATTTCGTGGATTGGTTGAAGTTAGACATTACCACCGTTGGATACCGACTCAGTGATATAGTGGTTGAGTGCTCGCGCGCGAGACCAGTAGGTTCTTGGTTCGAGTCTCGTTGGGGGCTAGGTCGTGAATGCCCACTGCTGAGGAGTCCCACAATAGGACAGAACGGCCGTCCAGTGATTCCAGGTTTTCCATAGTGTTCTAGCTTCAACTGTCTCATGATCTTAATAATCGGAATAAGTTAAAATGCATCAGTGATAGATGAATAGTTAAAGTGAATTAAATATTCAACTAATAAATATACAGTAATGAATTAAAATCCCATTGCATTTACATATTACACCTCGATTTGACTAGTCTAATTAATAACATAACTAGTTATTACATAAACAATTCATGTACAATATTAAAGTTATAAGCCATATACCTAATATATACATAACGATATTCAATTTGATTATACCGGTAAGTGATTATTATTATTATTATTATTATTATTCACCTAGAAATTATTCATCTATTTAGTTAACTGATCATTCTCTCTCCCTTTCCCTCTCTCTCATATACATATATTACTATGACGTGTTACCTGTCACATTATGAGTTAATAATGATGACGTTAATTCAAATTAATGATGATGATGATGATGAAGATGGTGGTATTTTGATTTGACATATCGATTCATTCAAACTATAGGAAGAATGAGAAAATGTAATTATTTAATTATTTATATAATTAAGTGAATAAATAGTTAGTTAATTAGTTAGTTGACTGTTTAATTAATCAATATATAGCGGAACCAAATAAATATCTACACATTGATGATCGAATACTGAATTTTTGATAAGATGATCGCGAAATTTTGTGGATTGGTTAAGGTTAGACATTAACACCATTGGATGTCGGCTCAGTGGTCCAGTAGGTTAAACGTTTGCGCGAGAGACTGAAGGCTCTGGGTTCGAATCCCGCGAGCGGAATTGTGGATGCGCATTGCTGAGGAGTCTTACAATAGGACGAAATGGCCATTCAGTGCTTTCAGGTTTTCAATGCTGTTCTAACATTGATCGGTTCATGATCTCAATCAAAAACTTAATAATCTCCACAACCGCTATACTGATAAAGGAATAGAATAATTCAATAACATTTGTTTAAATAGTGTGGTAAATTGTAATGTTTATTTATCTATTAGTAGTCAATCTGTTGATGACTGTTGCTATATATATGTTTACTAAGTATGGAATGACTAATAGACCTATGTATATGTATTTTCTCTTAAAAATAATAAAATTAGATTGTGTTTGATGACATCCATCATTGAAAGAACTCAAGCTTATTATCTTGAGTTCTAGCATGGAACATCTCTTTAATGTACATCCGTAACCCTGGTATATATATATGGGAAAGTAAATTTAAATAGTGTAGACTAATAGCGTAACTGGACCATTTAATGAAGTTGTTATAAGTTTAAACAATAAAAGCTATGAATTTCGTTGACTTTTACAACCATAAGGTCAGGTGTTCGAATCTCATTCCACCTTGTTTGTTTCATGTAGCTAAATAGTATTATAATAACTCTTTATCGGTTCAAATAGACCAAATGAATGACTTAAAGTAAAGTATATTAATATCACTTTTTTGAGGAATATAAATCCAAAAATACCCCTTTTACATCAGACTATTCAGTGTTAATATCTGTACTTCCATTTTATACAGATTAAGATTTATAAGTAACCGGTTACATTATACCTATTAAGTATAACTTTCTATACTAGGGTGTGTAGTTCAGTAACTTCTTTTTTTTAAAACAAACAAAATGAATTCATTGATACCATTCAATAATCAGTAAACATTGATTACAAATTAATATAAGCATAATATTACCATTAAACTGTGGGCAACTACGGTAATATGGATTTCCAACCTTTAGATTTCCAGGAAAAATTTATTGATATAAATTACTTTTGAAAACATAGTTAATCTATTTTTTTGATTGAGATCATGACCACTATTGAAAACCTTAAAGCATTGGACAACCATCTCATTCTAGTATGAGCCTCTTCAACTGTTCGTATCCACGATTCCACACTTTGGATTCGAACCCAAGAACTTTGATTTTTTGTTTGAACACTTTACTTCTAGATCACTGATTAACATATAATAACATGATCAAATGTGTAAGAATGTTTCAATTAATTAATCATTTTCTCATCTATGTATACTGGATAAAACTGTGAAAACAATTAATCAGTTTATATTTATTAACCTAAATTAAATATTTAACGACTATAAATAACCAACAATTTACGTCTTATCCTTTATATTATATAACGTATACACACACTCAGTTGAATGATAGATGTATATATATTTACTTATGTCTAGTTCAATCATTCTTTCTTCATAAATGTGAAATATCTTACATTTTCGAGTATTACTCGATTCATTGAATGATTGACTTCTCAATATCACAGTATAATGCTCATTGAGCATTTCATTTGAATTATCTAAAATTATCTACAGATTATCTTCTATGAACACACCATTATACTGCACTTCAACTTGTCGGATATAAAGGTTAGAGATAAGAATGAAATACTCAATGTAATCTATATTCTTATATGAAGTACTCATCAACTGAATGTATGGAAAAAGTGTATGTAATTATTTGATTCAACAGATATATTAACGATTTCAATAGTTGAAATCATGAGTCAATTGAAGTTAGACTACAATAGAAAATGTAGAAGCACTAAACGGCTGTTTCGTTCTAGTATGGTAACCCTTAACAGTGCACACCCACGATCCCCCCCCCCCCGCGAGATTCGAGCTCAGGACCTATCAGTCTCATACGCGAGCGCTTAACCATTAAATATATTAACGGTTGCATAACGAATGAATTACAAATTAGAACAACACATATAAACGAACAATTGTTTTCAATTAGATGTATGTGTGTGTGCGTGTTGTTTTTAATTATCTAAAAGTTTTATGGCGCTCTTTTTTTTGTTGTTTTTGTTGTTCTTTCTCTTACACTTAGCAATATTTGTTATTTGTGTTGTCGACGAAAAATAAAATACAATTAACTATTAATTCAATTCATCTTTATTTATTTGTATATGGTTTTGGGTAAAGTGAATTCATAGCATGTAAGTTGTTTAGGTAATTGTTTGCGCACACACAAAGACGCACATATATATATATATATATATATATATATACATATGGGTAGGTGAGTGCGTATGTTTACATGAGTATTTATTAACAAAATATGCTCATCATTATGAAATAGATATGAGTTATCAGTTAAACACAAATTTATCATTTATATTAGAAATGAACTAATGTAACGGTGTATTTTGTTTTAGATTTTCATCTAGAATGACATTTATATATTTGTGTAGAAAAATAATTTTAAAGTGAAAATCAACTATCTAGTTGTGTTTACTTGAACTATGAAATGATTCACACACACACACACATGCATACATACACTCTGTTTGTTTATCTTAAATGAATGTTGACGGAACCAATTATTCAATGATAAGTAGATAATTCAATAAATTATAACAGGCTTTGAAACTATTCGATTTTTTTCTTATTTAAGTAGTATTTCTTAGCGCCCCCAAATGCCCTGGTACGGCCGACAGTGGGGAGAGTCCGCTCTCCATCTCGAAATGATCTCACATGGCCATGCGTATATAGCCTCAGTCAGGGAAGCCCTACTCACTGCCTTCTCGTGGCGGGGGTGTTGTTTACGAAAATGACAGGACGAAAAGCGAATGTTCGACGCTATAACCGGATCCCAAACCAATGGTGCACATGGGCTTCAGTATCCTGAGTGAACAAATGGCGTATGAACCAATCGTTGGTCACCGGCTACCATGGGACTGCATCTCCTTACTATGCTCCACTGCCTTGTGGATCAGACGTTCAGGTCGAAGGCTCGGGGTGTGGCCTCCTAAGAAAACCACCTGCTTCGGTTTGGGCACCCGAGCAGTATCACAGCCCTCACACAAATCAATTGAGATTCGTGTGGCGCATATGTATTTGGTGCCTCCTTGTACCTGTACCTATGTGTTAAAATAAATAAATAAAATAGTATTTCTTAGCTGTCCAAATTCGCGCGCGTAACCAGTAGGTCCTGGGTTCGAATCTCGCTAGGTGCGAGGTCGTGGATACACACTGCTGAGGAGTCCCACAATAAAACAAAACGGTCGTCCAGTGGTTCCAGGATTTCCATGGTGATCTAGCTTCAACTGACTCATGATGTTAACCATTGAAATTATTATAATATCCACAAAATCCATATGATATTATAATTTTCTGTTTATTTATTTCTTTATTAGGCATCCATTATTTCCTTTATTGGCATTAATCTTTGAAAAATGTGAATTAGCCACATGTACACCACGAGATCCAATGTCAGCTGCAGCTGCTGCTTCAGCTTCCGGTAATACTAACACAGGTAATATGGAAGTATGGTCATCTGAATCATTTAATGAAGATATTATTGTGTTTGCGAAAGAAGTAAGTTCATGGTTAATAATTAACAAATTTATTCATTATTCTGTTAAATATTCTAGGTATTACTACTTGATATCTTTAAAAGTATATCGTTAATGTTTCCTATTTGTTAGTTTACTAGATTCCAATCTGTGTTTTTATTTTTGCCTAAGGACGATGGTTGATAGGACAAGAACTTAATGAATACATTCTCAGTTTGAATCCATTCTTTAATACTTTGGGGGGGGGGAAGGGTTATTGAAATTTATAATTGTACATCACAAACTAACTTCAGAAACATACATACACTATACTGATGAGTCTATATATTAAGACAATCTTCAAGAATGTATAACAGTTGTCTAAGAAAAGTCAATTCTTGATTTACAACTAAGTGGAGTTTAACCAGGTCTGTTGTGAGATAGTAAATCTTTGAACACAATCGTGGACGTGTCGCTCAATTTCGTGGATTAGTTGAAGTTAGACATTAATACCATTGGATGCCGGCCGGCTCAGTGCTCTAGTGGTTAAGTGCTCGCGCACGAAATCAGTAGGTCCTAGGTTCGTATCTCGCAGGGGAGGAGTCCCACAATAGGACAAAACAGCCGTCCAGTGCTTCCAAGTTTTCCATGGTGGTCTAGCTTCAACCAACTCATGATCCTAACCATTGAAATTTAAATTAAATAGTTACAAAGACTAACAATCAGAAAATCGATAAAAATGAAAATATATTTAAAATTACTCAATCATTTTATGAAGTAAATGAACTTTGTTACCATGTCTATTTCCTTATTTTCCATTTATCATTTAACCTATTGCTTTCGTTTCTATTTATTTACTCCTTATTTACTCGTGTACATATATGCATATGTTCACACACACATATATATACACAACAAACAAACGGATTTTAACTTTAATTGATTGTATCCTCTATTTCTCTTTATTTTTTCTTCTTCATCACACTTGTTTTGACTGAACTGTTTCAATTTCCAGGATTCAGTTTGTCAATTATTTCAGTTAGTAGTTAATGTGACTTAATTAATTAATGATTATTTTGCTTTATGTATACACAACTGTACACACTCACACAAACTCAACACATTGATATATATATATATATATATATATATTTGCATTCGTTCATACGGTAATCACAGAGATGTATCCATTCACTTATCTCTTAGAGCTATCAGTAAGAATTCAGATAGGACAAGAGAGAAACTGTATAGTTGACATCTGTTCTATTTTTTTCTTTTTCGATGATCTATCATTATTAGGTTGTTGTATTTACAAAAAAAATTATATTCTAGTTGATATCACTATCCATTATTATTTTCATTCTTTTTATATATACTTGTTGTATAATGGTTTTCATTGGTTAAATTTTATTGATTTGATGATGAACTATTGATAATACTTAAAAATAAACAAACAGATTATTATCAGAAGGGATTGTGTGGAGATTTTAGAAATTTCACTGGAAGCACCAGTGCTTCCAGGTTTTCCATGGTGGTCTAGCTTCAATGGATTCATGATTTCAACCAGTGAAACAGATTATTATTATTATTATTGATATGTACAACGTTTATGAACAATAGTGATCCATTAGTGTACTTATAACGTAATCTATAAGAAGATTAGTCAATATTTGTAAATACCTTTGTGATAAACTGTGATGATACAATTGTGAATCCTTAAAGAAATATTAGTAAATAGTGCTTAATGTCATACATATCAAATCCTTCTTCATGGTAATGGAATTCAACTGGGATCTAGTCACCAGTCCAAGTGATTTATCATCGGATGCATGATGCTGAGATGTAAGGTGTTAGTTGATAGAAAATAATGGAGCCAGGATTCATTCTATTTGTCACTCATCAGAAAAGTGTATCCGTAATCTTGAAATGGTACTTTATGACTTAGCATTTAACTGACATGTTTAGTCTACATATATGAATTATATCAGTGTTCCTAACATTAAAAAAAACTCGAATTCATAATTGTAACAGTTATCTGCTTTAAAAAAAAATGACATTCAACTATGATCATCTTTCATTATTATGCAAGGTGTTGTGTTCCATTATAATAACTTCAAGTGAAAATATCTATGAGATAGGTCGTGGTCTTATAACAGTCTCACTCATCATTCTATCTCACGATATATATATATATATATATACTACTTAACAGTGAAATTACTGGTACACACATGCACACATAAAACGATTATTTGAACCCTCATTTTTTTTTAAATAGTCCACTATCTGGTACAGTCTATAACTGGGCCCATATTTTATTATTATACGACCAAAATGGTCAAAAAAAAAATAACACAGAACACCTTTTTTTATTATTACGCCTGTAAAATTTAAAGTATCAATTTCCTTAGATGTATTCTTATAAACGTGGGATAGATAGATATATACTCTGAGCATATGGATAACCAACTGTTTACCAAGTTTTTTTTTATCCCTTTATGTATGTTACAAATATATACGTTGAACCAAGTGCCCACATAAAGACGGTCACATAGAAATACATACGAACCGCTCATTTGAATTTTCTTTAAAATTTGTTTGTAGCGTCAATAGGAGAGTGGTAGGGTGTATGTATGTGTGTGTGTGTAAGAGAGAGAGCAAGAAAGAGGACAAATAAAAATATATCGAAGATAGTAATTCTGATTTAAAAATTGGTCCACATCTGTTTCATATAAATAACATTGATAAAAAGGTGGAATAGAGCAATACCTCAATGACATAGCATGAAGAGATAAAGCAAATGAAGAGAATAGTTTACTTGGACATATACTACGTAAAGGAAACTTCTCGCTTTTTTATAGTACTAATGTAATGGACGCTATTCATATGATTGCTTGAAAGTAGTATGTTTTGGAAGGTGACCTCGAATTTGTCGACAAAGTGAGAAGTTTCAGTACAGTGAAAGTATAACATTAGCAAAATACTTAAACATTAGATGAGAAGACAGTTTAGATGGCAGTACACATTGAAAGATGCAAATGGATAATTGAAGGCTATGTCTATGTCTTATGATAATGTTTAATAACATATAAAACATATTTCCTTTCTGCCTGTAGCCTTCGTTTACATTGAAATTCAGCTTATTCTCTAGGTTACATGTTTTAATGTATCTATAAACTCTCTAAATTTATTTTATGATCGTATTTCCATGAGATTAACTTTAGATTAGGAATACTATGACTAGTGAAAATGTACTTGAAATAGAATAATATCTCAAGGCTGAGAATCGTTCCTCTAATGATTTTACATATTACAATAATGGACATAAAACCCTATCTCGAAAAGGATTTGGTAATTATTGTCTTCAATGATATTAAATCACATAGGCATGTTCCATTATAGTACATATTAATCTTTTTCACTACTAGTCGAATTGTATGAGATTGGGTACATCAAGCATTGGATAAAAGGAGTTATAAAAGCTTGTTTGTTTATCTTGAGAGGTAATGGTGTTGTAACGTCCAATTTATGAAGAGAACCGTTAAACTATTTTTTTTCAGACTGAGAAAGTCACCATTAAAATTGGTTGCCATTTAGATGTTGTGATCAGCTGTAAGTGAAATGGACGTTTAATTCATAACCTGATTTTCAATCCTCTAATGTAATTCACTTACCATATAGGTGTTTATATGTTCAGAACTAAACCATGCTTTACATCTGTGTAATAGATAGAGATAGGGACACTACTTAGATTTTAAGGTTAGAACCTATGTCCTAATAACTTCAAATCTGAGCTAAAAATCCAACTCTGTATGATTTGAACAGAACGAATACAGAATCCTTGTCAAAATATATCGTTTGTTTATTTCGTTCTGTCAATAAGATTTTGTGTAAGCTCTCTCTCTCTCTAAGTATCCTGTACTGCTCTTAGAATTGAAAACTGTCCTTCAAATCTCTAACTAATTGAATGTAAAAACGGTTGGTTACACAACAATGCCTCCCATAAAGATACCCCTTTAGATTAAGATTGAATGAAAAATTCAGCCTTTAATCAATGGTCTCTAATCGTTTCGCTTTTTCTGTATTTTTTGTCTTATAGTTGGTTAATTCCCAAAAAACTATTCGCACTGGTGATCCCGAGTTAGATTCTTTGGTAAGTTAACTATTTGTTCGTATATATATCCCATCTATTGCCAATCCGCTTTTTGTATATTTACATTAGAATTGTATCAGTGTACGTAAATCTAGTGATTCTGAGGGTTGGACGTTCTTGGAACGGATTGAAAATCCTGTGTTCGAACTCTGGAGGGCTTGTAAGTGAATATGATAGAGGAGGCCGAAACTAGGGCGAAAAACCTTCTAATCTTCCTCGGCTTTCACCTATAACTTAGTTGAGGTCAATCTAATAGAGAGCCCTGCAAATCAAACCAGATCTCCACTAAACTCCCTTCAGCTAAACTATAATAGTCAACCTACTGTTAATTTCAAGGTATTATCGAAGCCCTACTGAAATGTCGTAACTAATTGATTCCGAGCATATCGATGGTAAAACAACTCATCTGTAGCAGTGGATAACTATCACACTGGACTGCAAATTTCAATATTTTTCTAAAGCAATATTGATCTTTTTCATTTGTAACTAGTTCTAGAGGAAGTAGCATTCACTTTAACTACCGAAATATCATCATGATTTATAAATAAAACAATGAAATTGCTATGTTTGACCCTATTATGGCTGGAATTCTTTACTGGTTTGTGCCTGATACTGGGATATACTGAGAAATATGATATCCAACTATCATCTATTTTGTTTATGTATACCTTTTAAACTTCTGAATGATTAATTCTTCTTGGAATAAGACTACTCAGAAGTACTCGTTCCTTTAATTTTAATAGTTGAATTTATGAGTCGATCTAACCTAGACTATCATTGAAAAGCTGGAAGCACTGGACGGCGATCATGTCCTAGTATGGGACTGCTCAACAATGCACATTCACGATCCTATATTCGGGACTCTAATTCGACATATTACGTCTCGTACAAGAACACTTAACCTATAGACCACTGAGTTTACTGGCATCTAACAGTGTTAATGTTTCACTTCAATCGATTCATGATCTTACATAACCCTTCATCCATTGTCTGAATTAAATACCTATCTCATACACAACATCGATTGGACTCCAATGATCAAAGCTTCTCATTAGAACTCTATGAAATCTATTTTAAAACTAGTCACATGATGATAATTATTAGAATTGATATTTGTGGAGAATATAATAATTGTAATCATTGAATTCATGAATCGATCTAAGCTAGACCACCATTGTAAACCTTGAATCACTAGACAATCAATAATACAAATCCAAACTAGACATCCATATCCATACATATATATGTAATCGATCACATTTTCTCATTTTGGCGCCATGTTATGAAACATATACACTTTATTCCCCTTGAAGAAAAAAAAAAGTTACAAATAATGAATTTGTAAATTTATTTCAATTTATTTAGTCACATTTTTGTATAGAAAAAAAAAACGAGATCTCCATTTTTTTTTTCTTTTTGCAACAACATGTATTCGTAAAATTATGTATGTGTTGTTAACTGATATTTAAAGAGGGGGGGGGAAGGAGTATGTGTGTTTATATATGTGTATGATACATACACACACACATACATACATACACATATTTGGCATAGAGATATATAGAAAAATATTTATTTCATAGATTAATTAATTTCAATAAATTTTCATTCTGATTACACCTATTCGAGAGAAAAAAGAAAAGAAAAAAACAAATCACTTCTGGCATATCTCACATCTAAGTAATATGATCTAAGAATGGTTCTACAGTACAAAAACAACAACAACAACAACAACGACAACGACAACAACGACCTCATATATCATATTTTTCTCCTCAATTAGACGTCTACCATTTTTTCTTTTTATGTTTTTGTGTATTAAATTGTCGTTATTCCTGTCATTATTATCACACATTTAAGTGTATGAAATGTACACACACACATACACACACAAATATTCTGAATGAAATTTATTTTGTAAAATTAATTGTTTAATATTCTACCATAATCACTCAACCATCCTAATAACCAACCAACCAACCACCCACCCATACATGCATACTTATTTTCATCATTTTTTACTTATTTTTTCTTTTCTTTTTTGGCTTTAATACAACATTCAGATAATCCAAGCTATTCAGGTTCTCCGATTTCATCTTCTTGAAATAGAAAAAGTAAGTGATTTATTTGTTTGTTAATTGATTGTTTTAGTCTATCTAACTATAACACTATTTGTTTATTTGACATTTTAGCTTTGATCACTCTATATTTTCATTCTGGACTGTTACTGCATCCCTTGATGTGGTGGTTAGGCTTGTCTATAGTGATGAACCAGTCGAGCTATACTGGCTAGAACAATCGTTCCTTAAGGTCCTATCAAGCCAAATAGGTCGGTTGAAAAACGGTAAGACTAAAATCAACAAACACAAGGTTCGAGGAAGAAGTTATACTGCTGACTGTACAGAGATGTGGTGACAGTAAGGAGTTTCCCTCAGGCAGTCAGCATAACAGCGATGTTGCCTTCCCACAAGGAAAGGTGTGGTTAGAAAAGGTCAACCTTAAAAATGCACACCTCGTCTTATCCTAGTGATTTTCGTCTCCGAAGGTAAGGTCTCAACAAGTAGGGAGCTAACACGAAAATTACCCACAAAACGGTCATATGTGGCCGTCCTCAAGCAGTTATCCTCTAGGCACTACAGTCATGCTCTCAGGTCACTAATATTAACCTCTAGAAGGACCCTTCCATGGTATGAGCAACCAGGAAGTCATAACCGCCCTCATACCTCTAACAGTGCTCAAGACTGATTGATATTTGAATTTTACTCAATTGTGAAATGATTGTGTAGAAAAACGATATCCTATGATCCGTTCTGATCGGTTAGTAATTGACTTTAAATCATATCATCATCTATTATTGTGAGATGATCTCATCTTTTGGTAGCTTTGTATTGTGAACCAAACGTTAAGTAGTAGCTTTATAGAAGATCAACCATCTGACAGACTTTTGACCAGTATGTTATGCAACCGAATCCTATTTTACTTGGTTCGATTTAGACTGACTTTAGTGTTACTAGACCATACATACAATCAGTCGAGATCTAGGTTGAATACATGAACATATACTATAATAATAGTAATTACCAAGAGAAATAAAATTGAATGATCGTTAAATTATGTTTCAAAGTCAGTGAAGTAAGTATCGAGTTCTCTAAGACACATTTAAAAACACTACCTTACATTTCGCTACTTGTAATTTTGTAATCATGCACTGTTAAACAGTAGTGGCCCAGAAAAAAATAGGACAAAACAACAGTTCAATGTTTGCTGATTTTTAATTGTCCGCCCCAGCTAATATTGATGCATGATGAAAGTAATTTTTTAATTGAAGAAAATGGTCACAAACTACACTGTTTATTTCAGTAATCGTTCGTACCTTACTGTTGTTAATAATTAGGACTGTAAGTGATCAATCTTTGTTGTTAAATTTGCATCCCTTAGCAAGTTGCTTTAGTGTAACGTTAAGTAGCAAGTTTTAGTAATATTGAATCTACAGCTAGCCGAAAACTCAAGGACGCCCGTTTTGTTTACACTCATGTTTAACACTGAGATCCACGTACATTCACTTGACAAATCCCGAATAGAAATAAATGCATGACTTGGATTCCATTATTGTGATGAAAACCCAAACTCTAAGTCCTAACCCTGACGTCCGATTGTAAATCGTAATCTTGATTCCTCACACTAATTTAAAACTCTTATTTAGCCCTAGTAAGTAATTGGACATTCTCAAATACACTTAACTATCGCTCAAATATCGTCCATAAATTATAGACCCATCATCAGGTTCAATCTATGGTGCAAACTATGAAATTTAACAATCCCCTCAAATCCTATATATTTTATATGATATATTACTTGTTACTTACACCAGTCACCCCTCGTGGAAGAGCTTAGTTCGCCCACCACCATTCTCTATCTAACTATGTCCTGGACAGTCCTTTCCTGTTGGTTCCGGTTACTACTCATCCTTTTCATTTCTCCTTCCAATTCTCGACACAGTGTGTTTTTTGGCCTTCCTCTTTTTCGTTTCCGTTCAGGATTCAAAGTTAGGGTTTGACTCGTGATGAAGTTTGATGATTTCCGTAATTTCTGTCCTGTCCACTTCTAAAATCTTTTTGCAATTTCCTCTTCAGATCGAAGCTGATTTGTCTTCTCCCATAGTAGTCTATTGTAGATGGTGTCCGACCAACAAACATTCAGTATCTTACGTAGAAAATTATTTATAAATACTTTTACTTTAATGATGATGGTTGTAGTAGTTCTCTAATTTTCAGCTTCATGCACTTGACGTTCATGTTGAATATTATGACTTTGATGTTGGTTGACAGATGGTTGTTTTGAGTTCTATATATTCTTCAAATGTAGGAATACTGCTTTTACTTTGCAAATTCCCGCCTTTATGTCTGTATAGAATCCTCCTTATTTATCGATGATGCTTCTTAGGTACATGAAAGATTCCATCTCTTCCAGCGTTTCTTCATCAAGTATGATTGGGCTGTATAAATAAATCAATCAATAATAGATGATAAAATATTTTTATCATAAACAAGTATTATTTATAAATTTTAGATTCACATTCTAATGTGCACTTCATATATACATAAATAAATATATATGTATATAATATGTATATATCTTTATTATTGAATGTAATATAGGTTCATGAACTCTGTGATAACTTCTGTTCTCGTTATATAACATGTTTACGCGGTAAAATGCCAATTGATTTAGTGATTGAAGATAGAGATTCTGCTGGATCAACTGGTTCAGGCAATAGTCCACAACCTGTTAATTGTTCAATGAATCAATCAATAATTAATTCCAATACATCAATAGGATTACAACATGGAAATCTTCCCAGTGGTCATTCTACGACAACAACACCAACAACAAATCTGTTTAATAATTTAATTGATGATTCGAATGGAGGATTGAATATGCAACATAATTTATCTCATTCAAATATTGGAAATTTTGCAAATAATAATAATAATAATCATCATCAGCATCATTCAGGATTTCATGGTGATCCAGCAGCTGCCTATGCGGCAGTTGCTGCCGCTGCTGCAGCATCGTCTGTAACACAAATGGGTGGATTATTAGGATTAGGCGGTATGTATCCATGTTCAAATTTACCTGCTGGATCCAGTAATGCATTCCATTCAATGTTTGGAGGTGGTGGTAGTGGTGGTGATCCAAGATATAATCCTAATCCGCATAATTCCCCAATGTCTGGTTTTTCAGACTCTTCAAGTTATTACGCACAACAACAACAATTACATCATAATCACCATCAACAGCAACTCCATCCACATCATGGTAATCATTCAAACTATCCTGGATTGTATTCAAATCCATCGGGGTTTGGAGGTGGTAGTGAACTTAGACCACCACATCTTGGTTCACCTTATACAAATCATCCATCTGGGTTATCAGGCAATTTTAATAATAATAGTAATAATAATTCACAAAATTTTATCGGACATTTACCAGGCGGGCATAGTGGAACAAATTTAACAGGATTTGGTCAACATCAATTATCTGCAGATGCATTATCATCATCTTCATCATCTGGAATGGTTGGACGATCAAAAGTGAGTGATTAATTGCCAAAAAAGTGTAATATTTATTTTGAATAATGAAAAAATATATATACTTGTACCGATTTATGTATGTGTTTAATCAAAATATAATAACTTTGTATAGTTATATTTTCAATTTGATTTATGCGTAAAATGTTAACTGTGCAATGAGACATTTTCGATAATCGTTACATACTTTCTCGTTAGCATTTTTTTATAGCGGGTTATTTTTCTACGGGATGAGGTCGCTAACCCCATGCCCAACCCTCCTTCTTTATCTGGGCTTGAAACCGTAAGTAACCTGAGAGGGGCTCTTTTTGGCATATGTGTATCCTGTATGGATTGCCTCGATATTACTTAAGCAAAGATGCATAGTGGCTAGCAGTCGAATCCAGGATACGCGTTGCCAATCAACGACTGATCAATTGCAATCCTAAATAACAATCGGAAGATACAAGTAAACACCATCATGTGAATTTAAAATTTCACCCCATTACATAAGCAGGTAGCTATCAGTACTCAGTAGATAAGTGGATAACACGATAGTGTTTGAGGAGAATAGCATTGAGTTCGAGTCCCGAATAGGATGAAACGTTCATCCTGGACTCCACTGCTAACCATTATTCATCTTTTTTTTATTAACGGATAGTTTAAGATTCATATTATTAACAACCTGTTCAATATTCAGTAATACTACTCAAGTTTCAAACATAATTTAGAAAATATTATTTTGTTTAAAAAAAAGAAGTACAGTTAATCAGTTTCTAAGGCAAAATTAATTTTTGTCCCTACAACAACTATACATAATTATTACTTGTACATTAAGGGGGGCGGAGGGGATATAGATTCTTGTGAATAAGTTTTTTTCTTTATTTTAAAAATTTGAAGTATTTTGGGTAAATTAATGAGAATATCATACAAATGGATTTACTCTTTATCTTTCTTTCACAAATTGTTTCCTTACATTAAGTTTCTTCAAAATGGACTCATAATGATTATCAGTATAGGCATTAATACCATTTGATACCGGCTCAGTGGTCCAGTAGGTTAAGCGTTCTCACGCGAGACTGAAGGCTCTGGGTTTGAATCCCACGAGCAGGATAGTGGATGCGCACTGCTAAGGGGGTCCCACAATAGGACGAAACGGCCGTCCAGTACTTTCAGGTTTTTAATAGCGATCTAACATCAAACGGTTCATGATCTCAATCAAAAATCATAATGATTAGACTTTTTCATTATGATCATTAATAAGATTATTTAGTTTCCTTTGATATTCATCTTATTAGTTACATATTGTTGTATTGATGTGATATACAAAGTTGAATTAACTCACATTTGTACTAGTCTCTACATTAACAAAACATGGAATACCTAGTTGATCCTTGATTTGAAACTATTTAATAATTTTTATTGACTACTATATACTTGGTGAACATGACACCATTTAGACAATTGAGTTAATATTCACTTACTCATATTCTCAAATTTATGAAATCCATGATGTAATATCGTCTTTTATTGTTAAGTACTTTCAGGCTGTTGATAGGAATTCAATTAAGACGCGTTAACAATAAGTATATATTTCCTATTTTCACGTAATATTATCCATATTACTATTCCCTAACTTCCGATTTGATCAACTCCATATTCATGTACGAATATTCTTTCTTCCTGTACTATCTCCTTATATGCAATCTTTCTTTTATATATTACCACTGAATTAACTACTTCTATGAATCCGGTGTTCATCTTGTTGTGCTAATGAGGTATGGCAACTTGGACCGATGAATATATGTGCCTGGTCCTACGTTGAAGCTAACTGACTGACTGAATGACATGTACAAATAGAATATAACCTATGAATAACAAACTATATGAAATAACGAAATTTCCATGAACTGAATTCATTTTGAATATTTACATCAATTTGTAGTCTCATATTACGACGAAACGGCTATTCAATGCTTCCAGGTTTTCAATGATGGTCTAACATGAATCGATTCATGATCCCAATCAAAAACTTGATCATCTCCACATTCCCATACTGATAATAATTCGTAGTTAACATTGTTTATTTAATATTTATTATCTATGTAAATGACTATTGATGACCATTTACATTCATTCAATAATCAATCAATCAATCATTGATATCATATCGACTTGATAAGTATTGATTGATAGATTTGATATAAATAAATATACTGAAAGGAAATTTCAAAAAAAAATTTCGGAACACTTTCATCTTTCAAGGTTGTTCTTTCTTTCTTTCTTCCTCCTTGTTCTTCTTCTACAACAGTATATATTTTCTTTCTTCTAATTTACTGATAGTAATCAGTCGATCAATCCACATAGTGTTAATATAATAGCATCTTTTCATATTTCTCTTTTAATGAAACTAACAATAATCAACAAATAAACAAGAATAATATAATGTAATCAGATCAAATAAGGCGCAAACAATATTACTGATATAAGATACTACTTTCATTGTCAATATTATACCTATACACATAGATACTTATTTGTATGTATCTTCAATGGTAATAATCATCCATGTCAGTTCGTCTATCTATCTATCTATCTATCTATCTGTGTGTGTGTGTGTATATTTATATATGTTGACTAATAGTGGGTGCCTTAAGGTATTTTGATTATATCGATAATGAACGGAATGAAAAAAATAACTAAAAGTAAGAACGGATATGATAACAAGATCAAAAAAGAAAATATATATGACGGTATTTTCTTTTGTACTCGACTAAACTTTAAAAAAAAGCATTTTTCAGGGGGGTGGTGGAAGCAGGTGATTTAAAAATAAAAGTGTAGTGTATAGAAAACCGTTTGATTATTCTTTTTTGTTTTGTTTTCTTTTGTTCACTATTGTTTTCTTTCTTTCAAATTTCATTTTCATAAATAATACCGGATGATGAAATGACAAATAGGCGGAATAAATAAATGAATGAATATCAGTGGGTTAGTGAATAAGATACTGTAAAATAACACATTGAAGAAAACTGTTCATCGGACGATCTGTACATAACTATACATTGATATTTGTACAGTTTTGTTAATATTTCAGCTGACCATATTATCTCCATTATCGTAATAATAATAATAATAATAATAATAATAATAATAGCAAACTTCAATAGGTATCATGAATCTACGGCACATTAATCTCTCTCTCTCTCTCTCTTTATCACATACATACACATACACAATGGTACACAAGAAGTTGTGTCTAGTTACAGAATCAGAGAGAAGTAACTGTCTATCATTTGTCGGCAATATACTATAGATGACCTTTTCATTAGAATTGTTATTGTTATTTTCTTTTCAAAGATGATACGATTATTGGTCATATGGTATTAATCTTGATTGTACTTTCTTTTATTCTATATTATCAATTTCTGTTCTAGTAAATATATATTTTACAAGTATAAATATAAATAAATAATTCTTTAATAAAAAAAGAGTATTTCAGTACTATATATTAGTTGATTAACAAAACAGTTTCAAATATCTTCATGAAAGTTCTAATGTTTAGTATATTTTCACTACTTTGTAGTTGTTTTATATTTTATCACCTTATAATAATTCAATTATTGTTCCCAATTGTTCCCAAATGACCGAAAGAAATGTCATCAATGTTCATTTTGATGATTTAGTGTGGTGACCAAATTATGAATTAGAAACCGGTGAACAATCATTATTGAGTATAGGAGAATATCAATGTGTTACATTATTGTTTTATTGTTGATAATCCTTATTGTACAGCAGTTTGACTCAGTTGACAAGATCTCATTTCATCAATAGATTACTATTAGCATTTCATGAATTACTCCAAAGGTTTTTATGAGTTTAAATGTAGTCTTCCACATAAACTAAACAATAGTAAAGATATATATTTTCATAGTTTATGAATCTTAAATAGTACATAAAAGTGACAACATATCGAATTGAGATTATGAGTTAATTGAAGCTAGACGACCATAGAAAACTTGGAAACACTACTGTGTGGGACTCATCCAAGAATTATTTCCTGAAGTTCTAGTAAGAAGCAGTGACCAGTGAAGTTCAACTGAGTCTGTTGTGAGATAGTAACTCACTGAAGACAATGATAGATATGTCACTCAATTTCGTGGATTAGTTGAAATTGAACATTAAAATCGTTGAATACCGACCGGCTTGCACTCGTACGCGTGACTCTTAAGTCCTTTGTTTCAATCTCGCAAGGCGGGTCGTGGATTTGCTCTGTTAAGGAGTCCCACAATAGAACGAAACGGTCATCCAATGTTTCAACGTTTTCCATGGTGATCTAGCTTCAATTAACTCATGATCTTAACTATTAAAATTACTATAATGTCCTTTCTGATATGAGATTCAATTCAAGGTTTACAAGTTTTATAATGAGATTTATCTACTAGATTGATTCACTAGACTGGTATTCAATTTCTAAAGACTTTATTGATTTATTAGTTTTAATGATTGTATTCTGTATCATAAATCATTCGAAGATTGATTATTAACAGAGAGAGAGAGAGAGGGAGGGGGAGGGAGGGAGAGAGGGGAAAAAATCTCATTATTAATTATCATTATCGGTAAAAATAAAAATAAATAAAACTCTTTGATGATTAGTAATTATTTTGAACTAATTTAAAAGTATTTCACAAAGAGATTCATTCATTAATCATTATATTAATGACATGTGAATTCAATTTTGAAAGGGATGAACTCGATTCCGATCAAGTTAATTTGTTTTTATATTTTTTAAGTAGGTTACATTTAAATAAGTAACTAGGTAACGTGTTTTAATCTTTAAATAAATCGATGTTGATGGGTATGATGAGAAATATTTATTGATTTAATGCATTAGTTACATTTATTACAGATTGATCTAAAGGAGTATTAGACAATAGTTTCAATCTAGAGTGTAACTCTACAATGTAAGATAATGTAAGAGATCCAACTCGTAACTTTCAAGTTCGATTAGGATAGTTTACCTATTA